CTTCCTCCTCCTCCTCCTCCTCCTCCACAACCTCCAACTCCTCCTCCACCCCCTCCTCCTCCCCCTCCTCCTCCTCCTCCACCCCCTCCTCCTCCTCCTCCTCCTCCTCCTCCTCCTCCTCCTCCTCCTCCTCGGATCGCGAGCTTCTGTCTTTGATCGGACCCTTGAAAAATCCCCCCCGCCCAGCGCTGGGAGACGTTCTCTTACAGCTGCGCTGCGGTCCCTCGCCAGCCCCGCGTGGTGCTGCTCTCTTGCCTTCGTTGCTGGAGAGGCTCAGGAGGTTTGGGCGAGCCTCGTTGGGTCCTTCAATGTTGGGTTGTCCCTGGCTGTCCTCGGGAAAGCGCGGGGGGTTGGGTTCGCCCCCCCCTCCCTGAAGGAGGTTGAGAGACCCCGCGGGGGCCTTCGAGTTATCTGCGGAGCGGTCCAGGCGGAAAATGGCGGGGCTCCGCGCGCGCACTGGTGAGATGGGCGTTCCCCCTGCCTTCCCCGAGCGTCTGCGCAAGGCCGCGGTCCTTGGGAATGTGCGGGCGGTCCCCGGGCCTGGGCGCTAGGGTCTGCCTGGATGTGGTTCTCAGCCAGCTTCACCAAAAAAGTCACCCCCTTCGACAAGGGTGCCATCATAAGACTGGTTTGCCGAACTCCCTGGACCAGGTGCCGCGCTCAAGAACTCGGGCGCGTCCGCCAGTGGCTGGGGGCTCAGACGCGGCTGGGCGGAGGGCAGAACATCCACCCCGATGATAACCGCCCCGACACGCGAAGCCGTGCAGCAAACGCGCCCAAAGAAGGAATCAACCAGGATGGGGCTGTTTAAAGAACGCCCAAGGCCAGTTAGAAACTCGGCGGTGGACAAACCTCCCTGTAGTAAACCTTTCCTTAGTGAAAACGGCCTGGGACCGAAACCGACGGACCTGGGCCCGCAGAAATGACGGCCGCGACGCCCTCTCGCGAACCGAAAAAGGCCAATTCCTTGATCGACGCGTCAGGGTGGGAGGCCTGTCCAGCCCCGCTAAACGCCAGCTGTTCGGTCCAGGTGTTTTTTCCTCCCTTGATCTTGTCACGTCCGCCCCGACACGCGAAGCCGTTTAGCAAACGCGCCCAAAGAAGAAATTAAACAAGATGGGGCTGTTCAAAAAACGCCCTGGGCCGGTCAGTAAACGCCAGCTGTTCGGTCCGGGTGGCTCTTCCTCCCTGTGATCTTGTCACGTCTTGCCCGGCCCCCCTGTGCCCCGTCTGCGGCGTGGAGAACGACTCCATGCTCCACCGCAGGTGGCGCCTGCGCCCGCGGACCCACCCAGGTGCTTCAGGGGTCCTGGCCATCGCTCGGACGTCCATTTCCTGTGTTGTTTTTGTTTCGTGCGTGGTTTTTTCGCGAACGGATCAAGGATGCTCCTCGATGGTCCTCGCCGAAAGAAAAATGCACACGTCCGAGCGATGCCGAGGGTCTCTTCTCGGCGATGTTACGTTGCGGCCTGGGGAGGTGGCGTGCCCTGTCGGAGGCCGACGAGGTGCTGTGCACCCTGGGCGCGCTCGCGCACCCTGGTGATTTTTCTTCCCGCTGCCCAGCAACAGGGAGCTCACCTACAAACATCACGATGGCCCTGGGCGCGACGACTATCGCGTCCCAGGGAGCAGTTTCACAGACGGGTCGCGTCTGAGATCGGTGGTCAATGAGTTGTCGCGGACGGGCTAGAGTGATGTGTCGGTGTCTGACTCTGGGCAGCAGCTCAGTCATGTCTACGCCCCTCTCGCCCTCCCTATCCCTCCCTCAAACTGCCCAAGCTGGAGATTGTGTTGCCTGCGCTGCTGCCTGCATGAATGCGGTTGCTCCCACAAGGGGGGATAGTGACTGCCAGGATGTGGTGGAGGTTTGGGCCAAACCTAGGTCCTAACATTTGTATTGTAAGCGCGTCCATGCTGGGATGTTTGTGTGGACCTCCGACTGCCAGATGGGCCCAATCTTCAAGACTCAGGGGCACATGTCGGAGGAGCAAGTTTCAAGGGATTAGTCTCTGGAGTTTTGTAAGGGTGGGGTCGACCTGGCCGACCACTGTGCTAAGCTGGGGAAGTTTGCCTGTTGGCCGCGAAGATTCTGCCCCTCTGGCCAGCTTGTGACCTATCCGGAGCCACCAGGGCTAAAGTAGAGCCTGTTCCCCCACGCCCCTCCGTCGTTTGCACCCGTGGAGGCGCGCTCTTTCCTTCTGGCAATGCAGCCACTGGTTGCGTGTCTGTGGGGGTGTGTGTGGCCTCGCAGAAATTCGGCGTGCGTTGAGAAGCATATTCTCAAGGTCGACGCACTTTCAGGATTTGCACCATACGTGTACCGGCCTCGCGTGCTCTAACGGAGGCATTAGATGTATCTGCCTCCGTTGCAAAGGCCTGTCGGCGGGTAGCTATGTCAAACATCTCGACCAAGAGCGGTGTGGGACACCCGTTCACCCTCGGAGCGCCCAACACGATCGGAGTCGCATCACCGCTGCAAAACGCCCCAAGCTTATCACGGTTTGGACGGACACTGAGGCCAACTGCGTGATCCGTCTTTTCGACTAATCGGCCCTCGTGGGCACTAGCTAGTCGCGGGCATTCGTCTTTGCTTGTGCTGCGGGGGCGTGTGCCACCACGACGTCACGCTGGCGTGTGTGCGCCTGCCAGCGTCCGCCCACCCCCTCTTGCGTGGCGCAGTGCGTTTGCCGCAGCGGGTCGGAGAGTGCGATGGCGGGGAGCTGACTTCAGTGCCGTGCTCGACGGCTGCTCGGCCCTCTCCAGAGGTCGAGAGGACTTCGACCTCGGTTCGCAGCAGACCAGCGCAGCGGCAAACAAACCCTACTCCCTGGGCCAAGCTCGTATGATAGTAATAATATATCGCATATCCGTGCGCATCTACACATGGTGACTTTTTCTGCAAGGGGTGTTCGTCTCATGATCGATGGGAAAGCTGTACAAAACACTACAAGTGACCGACACCGACGTGTGCCGACGGCACAAACAAAGTGCCATGCAGCACTGGTGACTAAGGGTATGAAGGGAGCAAGAGTGAATATTATAGAGGGGAAATTAGATTTAGACGATGAGAGCGACGAAGCGACAACGGGAATAATGAGGGGCGTGATGAGAGTAAAGTGGGAGATAATGCGGAGGACGGGGACTGTGCAAAGCTGAGTCACCGAACACACTGCACTCGACTGGCTTTTCGACCACTCCGAGCCGCCGCCAAAGCGCGTTCGTGGACCCCCCGCAAGCGCCTAACTTCCGAATAATGGGTCGGCTGGATATTGTTTGGTGCGCAGGTGGTCCCTCGAGATCTGCCGTCGTGAGGAAAGAGCAGGGCGTCGTTGTCAGAATCACAAATGTACCTGCCAACCCCATCTTGCTTCGTTTCCCCAAGAGACGGATCGACCCCCGCCGCCCTCGGGGTCCGAGACGCAGAAAAGGCGCTGTGATTTGTTTGGTCACGTCGCTGGGATCTCAGTGAGGCGCTGGAGGTCTGGGCAAAGGGGCCGCTCTGGAGATCCAGACCCCCCATCGAAAATGCGATCCTTTGGGGGAGGGGAACTTTTACATTCGCCAATTCCTCGATGGCCTTCCGCCAGTTCGGCTACACGCAGGAGTGACCCTAGCCGAGAGTGACCTTCGGTGCGTGGCTCTAAGGGGCCGCGGGGCCACATCTAAGCGCGCAGGCCAATGCTGTGAAGGCCCCTGTGCACCCGCACCCAAAGGTCACTCCAACGAAGGGCAACTCTTACGCATAGCCGACCCGTTTCCGGGGGCCGCCCCCGGTTTCCCTCCGCCGGCCTTTCGCCTCAGAAGAGAAGCTGCCTGGCCTCGGCCCCTCGAAGGCGGGCCCCGTCCAGGGGCGCCCTGCGTCGCCGGGCCCGCCAAGCGGGGGAGGACCAGGGGAGAGTGAAGGAGTTTTCGGAGTTCCTTCCGAGTTTCCTGGCCCTCACGAGCGTGTCGGTGGGGGCCCACCTGGGAAAGGGCCGAGGGATCCAGCAGGCCGGGGAGGCGACGCCAGGGGCTTCCTCGCGCCGCAGCCTCCCCTCGTCGCAGGCCGCTGCCGCCGCGGAGGTCCGCGAACCTGGGCGTGGACCTCGATGGATCCTCGCCAGGTCCTCGCCACGATGAAGAGGAGATGCTGGGGAATGCTGGGGCAGTGCACGCACGTGCTCGCCAGGAGGAGGGAGGAGGAGGAGGAGGAGGTGGAGGAGGAGGAGGGAATGGCGAAGGAGGCCTGGGCACCTGGGCCCCTCGCCGAGGGGGCCAGGGCGATCTCCTCGATGTGGATCCGGAACAGCTGCTGCTGCGGCAGGCGCCAGAAACACGGCAGGTCCACCCCGGCCCGCCGCCCGACGCGCACGGACACCACCTCGGGCGGGGGGGGGCGTCGGAACGGGGGGGGTGGGCGGGGCGGGCGATGCGCGAGGGGGACCTGAACACTCTCCAGAGCTTCCTGCCCCCCCTCCCCCCCACGCGCCCCCACCCCCACCCCAGCCCCTCCCAACCCTGCTGTGTTGGGCCCTCGCCTGGAAACGCCGCAGCGCCGCGCGCGTGCGCATCGCTTCGAGAATCCCCCCTTTCCGCTCGTCCCCCTCCTCCGCCTGCTCCCCATGCCATCCGCCGCCGTGCCTCGAGGCACGAGTTGGAGTGTCGCTACATGGAATGAGGTAGGCGCCCTGGTGGCCTTGCCCCTTATCGCAGAAACGGAAGTGGGCTGAAGTGTCGCAGACGCATGAAAGTCGCGGCCAAAGAGCCGCGCGCCCAAGAATTCAGAACCCGTATAGAGGTTCAAGGTTCACGAGATGGAGTGTCCTCGGATCCTTTGAATATTGAGTCCTCAGGTGGGAACGATTCAGCATCAAAGCGCCCGGACCCCGAACTGCCGGATTTCCAAGGGGGGGTCCAGTGGGGGGGGGTCGCACACCTTTTGGGGCTTCTCGAATGGCTAGCCAACACACCAGGACGGAAAAGGGCCCCAGAGGCCCCCGAGACGACCCAAGAGCGTCCCACGACGCCCCGGGATGGCCTCAAGACGGCACACTTGGGCCCAAACATGTCTCAAGAAGGCTCCAAGAGACCACGCAAGAGGGCTCCGAAAGGCCAACACTCAGTGATTTTCCAAAACGGTGTTCGATGTATTTTCGCATTCTCGCATTTTCGGGGCTTCCAGCGCTCCAAAACACCTCAAAGAGGCCTCCAAGACTGCCTCCTCAAGACTCCGCCAAGACGGCCCAGGAGGCCCCAAAGACGAGTCCAAGATGCCCCCAAGACGGGAGGGGGGCACGACATGACATTTCGAGGCCCAGGCTCCCGAGGAGCCCCCGAGAGGCCTCCAGGAGGCCCGCAAACCAATCCAAGAGAACCGAATATACAACCCAAGAACGGTGGCGAGACGGACCGAAAGCCACCAGACGAATACAAGGCGGGATTATTGGCGTTACTGTGATGCCTCCGCCACGCTCCTTCCTCCTTCCTCATTCCCGTTTCTTTCGTGCACCATCCCATAACCATCGTGCGCAGTCGTTCATTATCATACTCCTAACGTTTAAAAGCTCAACACCCAATTCAATCATTTTCAGACTCACTTACGCCTAGACTCAGACTCACTTACAGTCAGACCACTCATACTCAGACTAGCCTGTGGTCAGACCCGGATACTGTCAGACCCACTCTACTCAGACCCACTCGAATTCAGATATGAAAACCACTCATGCTCAGCATCGCTCACACTCAGATTCATTCGCACTCACTCGGGCCCAATCATCTATACTGAGACTTGTCACCATAAGACGCTGCATGTTCAGACACACTCGCGCACAGATGCACTCATGCTCACGCACTCCCACTCAGTTACTTATCATCATACTTCCCACGGTCCGACTCAACGTTCAGACCCACTGAGTGTGAGTCATTACATACATAATTCCGTTCAGACACAGTCATGCTCATATATACTCATGAACAGCCTCATCCATGCAAGCATTGCATGTGGCCTTCTCGACAGAAGAGCAGCCAAAGGGAGTTGCACGCAATGGCCATTCGCATTCGCAACCATTGTGTCGGGACCTCTCATGCGGATCGCATGCTTCCGGACAGTGGTCGTGTCTTCCCAGACAGGCCTCGGACGAAATTAGCGAACATTTATGCCGCATTCATCTGCCAATGCCACCCAATGATCAATGTTGGCGGTGGGTTGAACGAGCTGCACTTCGACCTCAATCTTGCCCGCGCGTGCTAACTTTGAGTTTGGGGGAGCGGGGGAGTGTCCACTAATCCCACCAGCCCTCTGGGCGTCGGTGGTTTAGGGTGTTTCCTCTTCCCCCCCTCCCTCTTCCCCTTCGGGGAGGGGTTTACCCCTCCCCCTACCCCCTCCCCTGGACCTGGGCAGGGGGGCGCCGCGGGAATTTAGAGCGTCCAAAACGGCTTCGGCGAGGAAGCCACCAGCATTGATTTTACTACGGTTTTGGCCCCATGTTGGCCTCCTGGGGGGGGACCTTAATTGAGGGATCCCCCTTCGTTGACCGATCTCCTCCAAGATGGCCCCAAGAAGCGCCCAGGAGGCCCCAAGAGGTCCCAAGATGGCCCCAAGATGGCCCCACGAGGCCCCCAAGAGGCCCCCAGAGGCCCCCAAAAGACCCTCAGAGGCCCCAAGAGGCCCCCCCCCCCGAGGCACCCAAGACCCCGAAGAGCCCCCCAGGATCGCCAAGAGACCCCCAAAACGTCCCAAGAGGCCACCAATAATCGCCCAAGAGATACTCCAAGAGGCTCCGAGAGGCATCCAAGAGACCTCTGGCCCTTGTGCTTCCCCTCCTCCTCCTCCTGTTCCTCCTTCGTGCTCCTACTTCTTCTCTTCCTCCTCCTCCTCCGCCTCCTCCTCATCCTATTCATCCTCCGTCTTCCCACTCCCTCATCCATCCATCCATCCACCAACTTCTTCTCTTCCTCACTCCTTTGCACGGTTCGGCCGTCCTCCTCTTTGCTGCCGCACTTCCCTGATCACCTCAACTCGCCTGGACATCGTTTCTGGATGGGCTGGTGGGGATATTTTTTGCTACCAGCCGCAGGCGAGCGCGCCGACGGCGTGTCAAGGTCCGAGCGGGCCGCGCGAGGTCTTAAATTACCTAGCGCAAACAGGCCAACCGCCGCGACTCAGGCCGAGACCAGGAAGTGGCCGAGGGGGGGGGGCAGGGCTGCAGGCTGCCAGGGGTTGCAAACGTGCATCGAGCTGCAGACGCGCTGCTGACTGCCAGGGGCTGCTGACTGCCAGGGGCTGCAGGCTGCCGGAAGTGAATTGAACTGCAGATACGTGGACAACCGCTGCAAACACTGGTGGGGATACTTTTTTGGTCGCGGCCACGAGACGACGGTCAGGCGGCGAAAGCCTGGTGGGGATATTTTTTTTACCTGCGGCTCTAAGGACGATTCCAGAGAGCGGGTCAAACTCGGCAGGGGCGCAACGCGAGGCGATTGGCAACGAAGGCACATAGGCCAACGCCGCAATGCACATGCGAGGGACCAAATGAACTTCATTAAAGCCGGTGAGGGGACGCACTGTGGCGCCAGCCCCCACAGACCAAGCCTGCGAGAAGGACCTGGTGGGGATACGCGAAGCGTCAAGAATTGTTTCCCTCTACCGGAGCCCGATGATCACCGCGATGTAGCAAGAATGGCATACAGGCCATCCACGGACATGCCGACCGCGGGAGTGGCACGATCCCGTGCGCGCCCAGACACCGGGAACCTCTCAGGCAAAGCGCCTGCTTCGGCCTAGTGGGCGCGTGTCTCTTCGGAGCCCCATGGGCGCAGTGATGTAGTAAGCATGACACTTGGGCCATCCGCCAAGTGTTGGATGGGCTCGCTCGCGCGCAGGTGACGGGGACCCCTCAGGCGATCAGCTCGCTTCTGCTCAGAGGGCAGGTCTCCAAAGAGACAGTGACCACTGCGACGTAGCAGGCACGGCATCCAGGCCACCCAGGAGGGTGTCGACCAGGGGAGTTGCACGGGCCCATTCGCCCAAATTAAAGGGACCTCTGCGAAATGCCTGTTTCGGCCTAGCGGACGTCTCTTGTCAGAGCCCCGGGATGACAGCGATGTAGCAGTTGGGCTGTCCAGGGGGGTGCCGCTCAGAGGAGGCGATCAAATGAGGGGCCAGAAGCGATGAGGCATGATGAGCAGAGCCAGAGAGACAAAGAGAGCGAGAGAGAGAGAGAGAGAAACAACAAATGAGAGGGACAGCGAGACCTGTACGGTAGCGGTACAACTAACTACATATACATAAACAGGATGTACACATATGTACAGATACAGAGAGGGAGAGAGAGAGAGAGAGGAAACAAAAAGATATAGAGAGAGGAGAGACAGCTGAGAGGAGAGGTCTCTCCTGCTCCTGCCAACCGTTCCACCCTCCTCTACTGCCCTCCTCCTCCTCCTCCTCCTCCTCCTCCCCCTCCTCCTTCGCAGATCCCATCCACCTATCGTTCCCGCCTCTTCCGAGCCACTCCCGCTCCTCTGCTTCCTCGTCCTCCTTCTGCTTGTCCATCGCATCGTCCCCATCCTCCTCCAACTCTTCCTCACCCTCTTGCACATCCTCCTCGTAGTTCTCCTCAGCCTCCTCCTCCTCCTCTTCCTCCTTCTCGTCCGCCTTCCCCTCCTTTCTCCTCCTCCTCCTCCTTCTCCTTCACCTCCTCCTCCCATCCCTCACTCCTGTAAGTCACGCTGCATAAGAGCACCCTTCATAGCCGTACACAAAAACAGTACTCCTCAACAAACCTGCCACCATTCACCACGCGGCACGCCATGATCCACCACGTTCTCCTTGTTTGTTTCCCTCGCGTCCTCCCAGCCTTCCCCGCACTCTTCCCGCCTCGCTCCATCCCCACAGCCTCCTCACACTCCTCATCGTCAATGTCATCCTGGATCTGCCTTCCCTCATATTCACTTTACTATGTATAGTCGCACTGCACTGCGCCATCATCCCATAGAACGGGCATACGCCCGACCCCACCTGTACGTAGACGTCGAGGCAGGAGCGAGAAGGAACAGCGATGTGTGTATATATATATATTCATGTAGCTTGAACGAGATGAGCAGGAAAGTGCAAGCGTCAAAACCTGCGGTGCGTTTTTTTTTCCGCCAGTGTGTGACTACACGGTGTATCTTCGGGTGTAGCCCGATCCTAGAGGCACTCTGTGTTTGCTGACCTTCACGAACCCGCTGCCTCCGAGGGGTCCGACCCGATCCGATGTATGTATGTATGTATGTGTATATATATATATATATCCGATAACTCCCAACACACATTGCTGGGTGTTGTTTATTAAAAGGCTCGGGCTCACGATTTCCCGGGTTCACTCTAATGCTTTCCGCGCGCGCCCGATACAAATCAAGATGCATCCCGAGTTTCTGGGTTCGACGGCAGATTTTCCAAATTCGCCGATCCACCTCCCCCTCATCGCCATCCCTCCTCTCTTCTCCCTCTTCCCCCTCCTCCTCCTGAGCCTCCTCCGCTATCCAACACCATCCTCTCCTGCTCCTCCTCCTCCTCCTCCCTGTTCTCCTCCTCAACGCCCTACCCCTCTACAGTATACATTATGACTACTACTCTCCTTTCTCCCCTGAGTCCGTGCGGAAGATATTCGGCTGTCTCCGCGTGCTGTTTGTTCACGAACTGAAAATCTGATGTGTCTTATGGTTCGCTTTGCAATCCACTTGTTTTTGGTACTTCGCAAACGGTGCTCCCGCAGCATGGGCATCATATTCGGATCGGCGCTTTGATCCCGCCGTTCAAAAAGGCGCTCTCGCCCAGGCGTGGGGCACTTTTCTGAACCCGCGTCTTTCTTCATCGTGGTCGCCTCCCTCATGTTTCCTCCTCCTCCACCTTCCCTTGGTCCTCCTGTTCCTCCTGCTCCTTCCACTCCAATTCCGGCTGCCGCTGTTCGTCCTCCTCCTTCTCCTCCCGCTTATACTCCTGCTCACCCGCCACCTCCTCCTCCTGTGCACGCAGCTCTCCTGTTCCGATTGCGGTCTTTCTGATGGAGCTGCAGGTCGGCTGTGGTATGCGTCCGCGGATAGCGGCAACTTCTGCGCACTGGAAACGGATGGGAGTGAGGGATCGGATGCCAGATGAGATGAGGCGTAAGCGCACCTAGCTTGCCATTCCTCCGCTCGCCTACCCCGCCCCACCTCAACCTGGGGCAGGCATAGCCAGGAAGAGCTGGTGCCGCTGTCTGAACTCTTGCGAGGACTTCTCAGGCTTCGTCTGTTTGTCGGGGGTTAGCAGTATTCGAGCCTGGCGAGATGGGCGGTTGGTTACTATGCGACACGCTAGGCAATGCGACACGCTATGCCGTGCGAACGGATAGCGTGACGCTCCGTTCCGCCGGGCGAGAGGCCCGGAAAGGCTCGGAACGCTGACGCCTAGGGACTGGGAAGTGGATAGCGTGTCGCGCCGAAGCGCCGTGGGCCAGAACTGCTGGAGCGACACGCGATCCAAACATTCCCGACCGTAGCCCCCCGCGAAGCGAAATGATCCTCCTCCCCCCTCCTCCTGCTCCTCCTCCTCCTCCTCCTGCTCCTGCTCCTCCTCCTCATCTTCCTCCTCCTCCTCCTCCTCCTCCTCCTCCTCCTCCTCCTCCTCCTCCTCCTCCTCCTCCTCCCCCTCCTCCCCCTCCTCCCCCTCCTCCTCCCCGCCTTCTCACTCCCCATCCGCCCCTCCCCCCGTGCTCCTCCGACGCCGCGCCCGCCCGCGACCGACGCCCCGCCTCGCGGCCCCACGCGAACCTCAGGCAGAAGAAGTCGAAGAACCTGGCGAGCAGCCTGGGCAGCGACCTGGCTCGCTCGGGGCGGGGGGGCGCGCGCGCGCGAAGGCGGGGGGGCGGGGAGCGGGCGGGCGGCCCACGACGCCCACGACGCTCGATGCCCGACGACGAAGACGGCGAACGCGTCGCGGGAGCGTCGACGGGGACAACGGATGAACAGGAGAATGCTGAATCAGAAGAACCAAGCGAGATGCGACTGATGCTGATGATGATGCAGATGGAAGTGCTGCTGCTGCTGCTGATGCTAATGTTGATGATAATGATGATGCTTCTGGTGATGATGATGATGATGATGATGGTGATGATTATGGTGCGTTGGATGATGATGATGATGATGATGATGATGATGATGACGATGATGCTGATGATGATGACGATGGTGATGATGCTAATGATGCTGATGCTGATGATGATGCCGATGTTGATACTGCTGATGCTGATGCTGATGGTCATAACGATGTTGATGCGGCTTATACAGATGACGACGATGACGACGCTGATGAAGATGACGATGATGGCGATGGTGATGAGTAGGTCGATGATGATGATGCTGATGATGATGATGATGATGCTGTTGATGCTGATGATATTGGTGATGATTGTGATGATGAAGATAATAATGCTGCTGCTGATGATGATGATGATGGTGGTGGTGATGCGGATGTTAATGATGATGGTGATGGCGATGGTGATGAAGGTGATGATGGTGATGATGATGACGATACTGATGCTGATGCTGATGTTGATGATGCTGCTACCGCTGCCGCTGTCGCTGATGCTGATGATGCTGATGGATGATGAAGATGGATGATGAAGGTGATGAGGATGATGGTGATGATGATGCTGATGATGATGCTGATGATGTTGATGATGAAGCTGATTATGATGATACTGATGATGCTGCTGGTGATGATGATGATGATGATGATGATGATGATGATGATGATACTTATCTTTGTTCTGATGATGGTGATGGTGATGATGATGAGAGGGGGAGCCAGACTGGACTGGAACTCTAGGAATCCAAATGATCCCACCCATTGCTGACGGAAGAGCACCGCTGACGAGCATTCCAAGGACTCTGAGACGCACGGTTGGCGGTTCCCCGACAGTCAACCCAAAACCGCCCCCCCAGAGCAGCACTAGCCGTGGCCACGCACCAGCACTCGGGCACGCAGCCCTTCTGGGCGGGCTCGCAGGCACAGGGCGAAGCCTCCCCTATCCCACGACCCCCCGACGCCCGACCACGACCACTGGACGACGCCCGCCCCCCCCCTCTGTACCAAAGCCTCTCTGTCGAGGCGGCAACACTACTACTGGTACTGTAGGCAAGTTTGGTTGAAGGTAAGGGTAGCGGGGGAGGGAACTTGGAGGAGCGTGCGGGTAGTGTTATAAGCTGCGGAACTCGTAGTCGTGGTCGTATTCGCCGCGGTCATAGCAGTAGTGCTGATACGTCATAGGAATGAGACTTCAGCAATGACATTAGCAACGACATATGAACTCTGTTTGCCGAGATGTTGCGGGCAGGCACAAGCACTACTGCATATCATTGCAGCCACCCTCGCACCTCGCCGGATAGCTGAGCGAATCTGGCCCGACGGGCCTGCCTCCCGGAGCATCGCCCGTTGCCTCACGAGGCAGTGGAGCGTGGGGTCCATGGCCAGCAAGTGCTCCCACTCGGCCGCCCCAGGCCCCAGCCGAACTGGTCTTTGTCGTAGTCGGCGGACGCCAGCCACCAAGAGATCCGCCGCCTGCGTCACGCGGCGTCGGGGTGCGGCCGCACCAGCTCGAGCCACCAATGTCCCCTGGTCTGGAAAGCTGCGCCGCCAAAGGCTTGAGGTGTCGTCCGCAGTCGAAGCTGAAACTGTCCGTCGTCAGGTGCCGCTCCATGACTTGCCTCGTCAGCTCCTTGATGCCGAAGACCACAGGGTTGGTGTCGTTTGGCGTTTTGTGGCCCTCGATCTCCTCGATTGCCCTCTTCAGTTGCACCCGTAGAAGCGGTGCGTGGAGGTGCCCAATGCGCCCGACACTTCCGCGCCCAAAGATGTCATTCCCTGTCTTGATGCCTCTGTGGATCAGTGGGAACAGCTGCCTCCTAAGGTTCTTGCCGAGCGAGCGCACGCCGATCGCCCCTTGAGTGCTGACCACGCTCTTGTGCAGGTGCTGGCCGTATAAGACGAGGATGGAGCTCGTACCCTTGCGATCCTCGTTCTCACTGGCCCCTTCCGACTTGCACTGCGCGTCGCCTTGTTGCCGTCGTGACACTGCCCGCGTACCCTCTGCGCGCATCTAGGGTCGCCCTTGAAAACCTCGCATCTCGCCTCAGTCTTGCAATGTGGGTGTATGCAACACATCCATGCGTCTGCAACACATGGTGGTCACGCGCTGCAAGTGCGGGGCGTCCTGGGCCAGGACGCCGAGCCACACGCGCAAAGACCTGATGGCGCTGGCCTCCTTGCCCTGCGGCGGAATATCATCGTGGTGGACTGCAGCCCTCTCCGCGGGCGGTGTCGCTGCATTAGAGTTGGCCTTGTCTAGTCCGACCTGTTTTCATGTCAGTATGTCGAGGGTCAGGCCCCATCGCGTCCCAGCTCTTGGTTTGGCCACTGCCGTTCACATGAGAGATGAGCCTGTTGAGGATGGTCGCGCGCTGATCGTCCGGAGGGTCTGGGCCGAGCAGTTCCTTCAGTTGTTCGATCATGTGTTTTCGCAGCCTCTTTTCCACGTAACTACCACTCTTTTCCCTCGTGGACGAAGTCGTCGCCGCGCATGGGTTCCGGATGCCCAGCCGTCGGCGCTGGCAAAAGCGCAGGGGCGCGATGCTCCAGCCGCGAAGCCCGCCAGCTTCAGCTTGTCCTCGCGGTCCTCTTTCCGACCGGCCGCGGCGCCCGTCGTGCCGCGCATCAAGAGGGGTCGGGGGCCCACCGTGGCCTGCCTTCCCCAGGATGACCTCGATCGGGGTGCGCATGAAACGCCCCCTCTTGGCCACCGGGTGGAAGTCAGCCTTGAAGGTGCCCGAGAAATGCGCCTTCTTCCCGGCAGGGGCGCAACCTGACCGCTTGACCCCTGTCATGGCCACGCCCGGCACCGTCTGCGTGCCTTCCCACCGCGGCGCCCCCGCGATGGCGTCCTCGACGCCAGGGGCGCCCCCGCTCGAACTCCTTCGCGCGAGGCCGCGGCCTCGCGTTCACGTTGCCGCTGTCGCCCTGGTTCACGTCCACCCACCTTGCGCCGACAACCTCGCAGCCCTGCGTTTCCAATGCGTCCGCCTTCGCGTGGGAAATGCAAATCCGCAAAAACTCGAGTTCCTTCTTGCGCGCCGCAGCCGCCGCGTCAGCCGGTGGCTGCGCGACAATGCGTCGTTGCAGATGTGTTCGTGCTCGGGCGTCTCGGCGTCGACCGCGTGGCCTTCGTCCAGGCCGTTGATCGGGGTGCCAATGCTGGTCGCCATCTTCCCGAACTGCATCTGCGCCCGGAAGCCGCGCGAAATGGCCGCGGGGGGCACGGGTGGGTAGCTGACCTAATGCTTCGCGGTTCCGCCTAGCAAGTGGCGACGCTGGCGGTGCTAGCCGCGCTGGAGCGCGCTGGAACTTCGCGAGCTCCTTGGCCATGTGAACTGAATTGGTGAGCCAGCCCGTCCTGCCCTGGACCGACGCGTCCTTCGCGCTGCAATCAGGTTGCAAGACGGGGGCGGTCTGGCCGGCCCAACGCTGATCGCCGGCCGCTAGTGCGATGCCGCTCCTGTCGCGCAAGTCCGCGAAGATCTTCGCGTGCGGGGCCTAGCGAACGAAGTGGCGGCAATCGCCCGCGCGCTCGATGACCTCGCGCGCGAGGCCGTTGATGGCGCCCTGCCGGGTCTGCCTGCAGTTCACGCCCTCGGACATCGCGTCGGGCCCAGCAGCTGGCGCAGCCGCCGGCGCCCCTGCATGGCCCGCCTGCGCGGGCGCAGGCGCGCCCGTCGCTGCCGCCAGGCTCGGCGTCGGAGGGGCCGCCTGTCCCGCGCGGGCCCCGCCTCCACTCCGTATCTTGGCTCCCCTCCAGCCGCCGTGCCAGGTCGCTGTAGCTGCCGCCGCCTGCTCTACTCGGGCCCGGCGCGCCTCTGAGTGGGCGAGTCTGTGATTGCCTTCTCTGGTAATTATGCACTCCCTGGTATTGTCCGCGTGCTCGGAGCCGCCCTCCGCCATTGGCCTGAGCTCGACCTCCCGGCAAGTGCAAAGACGCTTCGGACGCGTCTGCGGTCTGCCCGCCACTGGGGGGGGGTGGCTGGCCCGCTGGAGCAACCAGCGCAGCTGCCGCGAACGGGGGGGCACCCTCTGCGTCGTCACCCGTTTTGCGGGGCCCTAACCAAGGGCCCCCCTGCATGCCGCAGTGAAGCTCCTGTCGTCACTGCTCCTCCGGAAGCCCCCGATGCGCGCTGGCCTTGAAGTGGCCCGTCTTGGCGAGGGCGGTGGCCCCGCGCGGTCGACGACCCCCGCGTGCGCGCCCGCGTGGAAACACTCGTCGAACTTCCGCCTGCGCTTGCCTGAGGCCACGGCGAGGAACAACGCGAGCTTTGCTACGCCTGGCAGACGCCAACGGCGGGGCCGGCCCATCATCCGCCGCTCAAGCGCCGCCCTGCCGTCGGCGCCCGACCGCTGGAACCGATCCACATGCTGCGACGCGTTGCGAACTGCCCAAACTACGAGGAGGTGAACTGCCTGGAACTTCGTCTCGTGCAGCGCCGCCGCCCTTTTGACCGAGGCCAACGTGAGAGATTCTGGTCCTGCCAGATGGCACGCTCGATGTAATCGATCTTCTGGGGGTCGCCGGCGAGGCCCCCACTTGGCGCGACCGTGATCCCCCGCCCCGTCTGGCGGACCTCCGTGGCCGCGGCCTTTTTGAGTTCGACGAGGCCGGCCTCGCCGCCTGACTTGAAAGGAACCTGGCGCGACAGGCGTGGGCGATGTCCTGGGCCACGATCTTGACCGAGTAACCCAGACCCCCGACGTCATGATTTTTTCATGACGCGAT